GTGAGTGTTGGCACCATGCTGGTCTGCTCAGGTGGCCCTTTGTTTATGCTTGGAGGTGGGGGAGTGAATTGGTGCCTTCAGCTCCTCTGTTCCTGAGGGGTCTCCCTGTGATCACTGCCTCTCTGGCCATGCTCTGAGATGAGTAAATAACTCTCCCTCCAGTATGGCCCTGGCATTTTTCAAACTTCTGCTTCCATGTTGTATCTCCATGGGCTTTTGCCATGTTGTCTCTTTAAGGGTAGGGACTCTACTTCCTAATGCTCTCCAGGCTCTCCTGAAGTTGAACCCACTGATTTTTTAAAATCCCATGTTTTAAGTCCTGGTAGTTGTACAAACTCACAAGATTCATCCCTTCTCATTTTCAAAGCCATATGTTATGGGGATTTACCTTCCCTGTGAGGGCTTTCCAGTGTGATAGTCTACTTTTTGCCCTTCTCCACACCATGGGCTCTCTCCCCTCTGCTGACAGTCACAGTCTGGTCTGATTCACTCCCAAACTCCCATCTTCACCCTTCCTGTCTTCTTTGATGTGGCCTCTTCTCTACCTTTAGTTGTGGAGTTTGTTCTGCAAATCTTCAGGTTGATTTCTGGGCTATTCATGCTGATGTGAGTGTTATCTAGTTATATCTGTGGGACAAGGAGAGCTTAGGGTCCTCCTACTCTGCCACCCTCCCAACCTCCAACCAAGTGATTTTAAATTTTTATCCTGTGTTTTTTTCTGGCTTTTTTCCATTTGCATAGCTGTCTTCCAGAAATAAGAAATTGGTCTGTCCTTATATGTATTATGTGTGTGTGTGCATGCACAAATGTCTGAAATGACTAAACACCTTATTTCTGTGCCATCAAAATTCTTGGCAAAGCACCTAGAGAATGCTTTTGTTTATTAATGTATAGAAATGTAGGCACCTTGAGCTTGAAAGACCTTTGAGGTTATCACATTAAATCCTAATAAACCGCTTCACCAATTCACATAATAATCAATTCACTCAACAAATATTTTTGAGTACTTATGTATTAAGTACTTATATATTAAGAACTGTAGTTGGTGCCAGGAGGATAAAGATAAACAAATAAGACATGCTTTTCAAAGGAGAAGGCTCACATTCTAGTGGGTGAGGACATACAGACCACACACAAATGTTTGTTCAAGGAGGTCAGGTGAACATTCCAGGAGTGCAGACTGAGAAGCTGCTCTCTGGGCTGACTCTTAGCCAGTTTGCTTTCCCTCAACCACTGCAATGCTTCTGCTCGAGCACTAGCAGTGCATGGTTAGAGAGCAAATATTTTCATATTGAGCCCAAACCCACCCTTCCATTATGGGTCCAGGTGTTGCCAACCTTCACTTAGTCCTTTAGATGTTTGACCTTCCAAAGTCTTTTCCTTTTACAATTAAACATTCTAAATTTGTATATTTCTCTCTCTCCCTCTCCCTGTTTTTTATTAGATTGCTGCTTTCTAGTATATCAATATGGCCCTTAAACTATACTTCCCAACCTTTATAAAATACTGCAGATATACTCAACTTTTGAAGTGCAATGGGACTATCATCTCCTTTAACAAGACAAAACATTTGTGCCTTCGAAGTCTAAGATCACATGAACATGTCTGCCACATCACATTCTCTTATTTAAATGATGAGTTAATATTCAGTCTTTTTTCCAAATAAGATGCCAAAGGGGTATTAAAAATCACAGCATTAAATAAGTTAAAAATAAAAAGAGAAAAATAATGCAATGATAGTACCTTATATGGGCTGAGATGTGAGGTTAGGACTATAAAATATGCCCTACAAGTGTCAGATTCAAGAAGTCTCATGTGCTTGCCAGAGCTGGAACATGGCATTGGTCTTAAGATAGTAGTAGCTCACTTTGGCTCATGTTAAAATTATAGTCAACTAAAATCCATATATATATATATATTTTATATAAATGGCTTCGATGTCAAATACACCAATACTTTATTTCAATTATAGTTCATCTTACTAGTTTCTGTTTGATTATGTTTTCAAAAGCTTATGTGGTCCACCTGGTTTTCTGCCATCTGTAGATTTACCAATTATGCTTTTTTTTTTGGATAGTCCTGCAATTGCTTCAAGCCCAAGGGTGAAACAAAGTTTCCTTTTTCTGCTTAACGTTTATTTTGAGTTGATTTTGCTCAATACCAGTTATATACAATTTACTTTTTAAAGATTCATCAGATGATTTTCTCATCAAATCATTCACTAATACCTTTTTTTTATAATTTGCTAATATCCTATGGCATCATTTTAATATTACCTTCAAAATATAAAACATTAGATTCCATAGTATTGACATGCTATTAAATTATATGAAAATAGAGAGCAATAGCATCTGGTCTGTTAAGCAATTTTTAGCCATGTTGACTCAAATTATAGAGACTGATACCTGCAGACTCACTCTGCAAACATACTGAATCACTCTATCATGCTGTCATTTAAAAAATTTTGAGGGACACCTGGGTGGCTCAGCTGGTTAAGTGTCTGCCTTCAGCTCAGGTCATGATCTCAGGGTCCTGGGATCGAGTCCTGTGTCAGGTTCCCTCCTCTGTGGGGAGTCTGCTTCTCCCTCTGCCCCTCTCCCTGCTTGTGCTCTCACTCTCTCAAATAAATAAATAAAACTTAAAAAATAAAATAAAAAAATAGAAAATGTTGATATAATAAGTGAAAACAAGTTAGTCATGGAATACCTTCAGATAAATTTAATGGCCTTACACACTAAAAACCAACTAAGCAAGAACTGAACTAATTTCACTGATGATGTACAGCCCCAAAGGAGCTTCGACTCTTCTAGGAAGAAAAGCACAGCAACAAGTAGAAGGAGTAAGGTGCTGAAAATACAACTGTGGTTTGGTGATATGTACAGAGTACAGTAGGAGGTAAAGAAAAGGAAGGTGCTCAGGAAGGATTTTGTAGAGATGTTTGCTTTGAGTCAGATGTTCTTTAACAGGTAAGATAATAAGAGTATTACAGAAAGAGGTTAAGGTATAGGCACAGGCAAGGAAGGAGTTAAAGAAGAGGTTTCACACTAGAGGAATTTTGGAGCAGCTGATACAGACTTTAAGGAACTAATCTGGAGAGAGATAAAGCTGGGAAGTTTAGCAAGAACTGGGTCATGACGGTCATTGTGTACCATGCTGAGGGTTTAGGAGTTAAGTTTTTCAGAGGGTTGCCCATGTTTCTATAGTTTTATGGCAAGATCCTGAAAATTATGTTTCAGTATTCCTATTAAAAGTCAAAGTTGAAATATTCTAAACTGAAATCATCTCCATCAGATAAGAATTCACTAAATTATGTTCCTCAAATTCCCCAAACACAATCCAGCCTTGTTACTGTGTCTCTAGAAGCAGAGTAGTTGAATCTTTCTACTGATACTATGCTATCATTTCTAACTCTTCATTTCCATTGTTACATAACAGCCATCAATATAAGTAATTTAAAATCAAATTTGTTAAAAAAATGCATTGGTGAATTTCTAATAAAAATTAGAATAAGGATTATTGTAGGTTAGGGATTGAGAGTTCACTTTAACGATATTCAAAGTTTCTACTGACATTTTCAATATTTCAAAATATACCCTAATTTACAATGAGGATTTCTCACTTTAGAATGTTTACAGTTAGGCAGAAGTATGAGATTTTTTTAAAACAATAAATAGAACATGCAAATTACCTTTGGATATTTAAAAGGGAATCACAAGTTATAGGCACTCCATAATTTTTAATGTACTATCTGTTAACAGACTTTTAAGGGAAAAAAAAATCAAGATCCTGACTTCAAAAACACTGCAACTGTAGTTTATACTCAAGTTTGTATATGCATATCTATTAAACCTACACATTTAAATTCTACCTTTTCAAAACTTTAAATTTCTATTATTTTAAATTTTTGTTATAATCCATTATCAGTAGAATCTTTATATAAAGTACTTGTACATATATAAAGTGCATATACATCTTATATATGTACTTCATATGATAGATACACACACACACACACACACACACCCTCAGAGGAAAACAGCAAAAATAGCCGCCAGTAAAAATGAAATTTGAAATAGCTTTGGAAGTGTTTTGCAAAATCCTTTGATTATGGTAAATTATGCATCATGAAGTGCACACGTAATTAAAATATTTAGAAAAAGATTTGGTTTGTTTAGGTTCAGCATGCATTGTTTATGCTGCAAGTTAATAAAGATTATGGTTTTAAAGAGCATGTGCATTTTATATTATAGAACAGGTGCTTCTATTTTTTGTTTTTTAATAGAACAAGGTGGGGTTTGTTTTATTTTCCTTTGGAAAGTCATGTTTTATTCATATTATAACATTTCAAATAGTAAAATATTAATCTAAAAAATTTAATTTTCCCAAAATAGTCTTTACATAGTTAATATGGATTTCTAAAATAGATCAGAGTCTTAAAATAAAGACAACGGATCCACTAAAAGTTTTTACAGAGACAAAGAGTAAAATTTCACATGCATCTGGAACCACAGTTATATTCTAATCCCAAAGTGCTTATTTTTCAAATAAAGTTATCTCTAAATCTTCTTAGGAGGACAAGCCTCTTTTGAAATGGAAGGGGAAAGAAAACAGGTAAATAAGATAAACATAAGTGTCATTTTTACTGAAGTAGATTTCACACAAAAGCAACAGAAGGCAACTGTTGACGATATCTTCTTAAACAGCTGAATGGCATCTGCAAAGCCTGAAGATTTGAAAATATATATTTATACCAAATGTATTTATAAAAATCTGTTTTGAGGTTTGTGAAAAGTAAGTTCACTCTCCCTTTTCCCCCAAAGTATGCATGGTGTATATGCTAACTTACTGAATTCATCCTTCATGCAATTCCAGTTTATTAAAGAGGTTAAAAATTTATAAAACTCTGATGGGATATGGTTTTAATGCTTCATCACACTACCCATCATTTGCTTTTCAATCTAGATCAGAATGATCTTTCCTACTTCCCTGCAATCACCTACCTGCACAGCTAATATTTTCTGAATACTCTCCTGAGAGTCTGTCTGGAACTTGGCCAGCCTCATCTGGCTGTAGAGGACCACCAGTTTGAAGTGCTTCTGCCACACCTTGTGTATCCTTCTTTGCAGCTGACAGAGCTAAAGGGAAGAGGGAGGGGGGAAAAACACAAGTAGAGTAGGAGAGGAAATTAATGGCAGTGTTCAAGAAGAATGATGGAGGGAAATATAGAAAGCAGTCAATAGCCCATTCTGCACTGTACGGACCTGACAGGAATTTCACAGTCTCTTGATTTTCCAGCCCACTCATGTGCATTCATCAGAAACCAGTCACATCTGGCCGCCAGGATGGGGGGTTAATTTTCTCTAAATGCCTCAGCAGTTTTGTTCTAGCTGAGGCAAACTCTGTGACTGCAAAGCTGATGAGTAAAATATTTCTACTTCACCCAGTTTAACTCAAAACCGATAGCCTCGGGACATATTGAACCTTTCTTTAAAAAAAAATAATCTTTTGAAGCTTTTTTGAATGGCACATCAGGTTAAGCCAAAGTTTAAAAATGCAACTTGGAGACTGTGATGGACACCATTGCTTCTTTTTTTTTTTTTTTTCCTCATAAAGCTTACCATTGCTTGGCAATGTGTGCTTTAGACCATGACAAAACTAAAGAGAATTAACTTAGCCATCAGCTGCTGAGGGAGAACAATAACAGGGAAGAGATTTCCAGCAAGAACTCTCTATTAATCTACCTCCCTCTGACTATGTGACATGGAGACATCTCACTGCACTAACATACAGTGGACGCAGTGCTTAGAGGTGAAACGTTCAATACTGCATCTACACAGAAAAAGACTTCTCCTATGAGGCATTCTATACTTTTTGGATGTTTAGTATAAAATCAAACAACAACAACAAATACGGTAGAAGTTTTACCAAAACAATGAACATATGTCACTCAACAGTTAACACAGCCACACCATATAGAATTTTTATAATTAGGTTATTTTTGAAGAAATAAACTTCATAAAAATTAATTTTAAAAACCGTACTAAAATATATTCTGTCACTGAAACCTTTTTTTTTTTTTTTTTGGTGATGTGGATAGTTGTTTATGTTGACTTCTTCTTAGAATGAAAAATAAACACCAAAAATTTCATATCAGACATCTTCACAACAGAATAAAAACATGTCACAAAGTAGGGCTATTTTATGTCTTATTTATTGATCTGAGCACATGTAAAGGATCCCATGCAAAACTTCACCAGACTGCATGGATGACTTGTGAACTTTTCTGGAAGCGTATTTCAATAAAACAGTTTACTTAAAAACAACAATTTTTTTTAAAGATTTTATTTATTTATTTGAGAGAGAGAGAATGAGAGAGGGAGAACATGAGAGGGAGGAGGGTCAGAGGGAGAAGCAGACTCCCCGCCGAGCAGGGAGCCCGATGCGGGACTCGATCCCGGGACTCCAGGATCATGACCTGAGCCGAAGGCAGTCGCTTAACCAACTGAGCCACCCAGGCGCCCAAAAACAACAATTTTAAAAATAGTCACCTGGTGTGAATTGTGAATTGTTTATAATCATTATCTTCATTATGCATCATAATAAGCAACACATAGGTATTTATGTAAGTCCACAGAATAATGAAACCACTATTCTTGGTTAATTGGTTAACTTGTGAAATAAGAATAACCTTGAAAACTATAGAATTTTCAGCTTGCTAAATGCTGAAATATATTACCTGGAATTTAAGGACATTTTAGATAATTTAGGCTATTGAGTTGAAAATTAACATCACTTTTTGAAGAGAAAGTCTGTCATTATTAAGTGGTTTTCTGTAATATTTAGTAGTTTTAATATAATATTAAATTTTTTTTTCTGCCAAATCTGACAGCCACTGGGGGAGCATATGCTGTTATCTTAAAATACTCACTAAGATGTTAAGACGCTTTAGTCTAAGCATTACACCATTATTAAGGTATCTGCAAATATGACAAGGGCAAATAAGAGGAATATGAGTTTTAGAGGAATTCCTTAAACTGAAGGTAACTTTTTTACAAGTGGGAGCTCTCAACATGTGAAAGGTTTTTACAAGTGGGGGAGCTCATTAACCAAAGTGAACTGAATGGTAATGCTACCCATCTTTCTCTCTACTTAAGTAGAGAAGTTCCTTATGTATCAACTAAAAAAGAGTAATATCTCAAAGTGTTTTTTTTTAATTTTAGATTTATAGCTAATAAGCTTCTGAAAAAAGAATGGGGACAGAAAAAAACTGAAGGAATTCTTAGAATCAACATCCAGTAAAAGTCACATATATACACATACATATCCACATTAAAGACAATGAGATGATCAACAATAATATATATGGAAAAATATTTAAGGTGCTAGAAATGACAGTTGATTTGAATATGATGACAACTATTTTAAGAAAATTGTTATGGTAAAAGCCCAACTGTAAGATGTTAGTAGACAGTAATCACTCAATAAATACTGAAATTAAATCAATAAAGTGAACTGGTAAAATTTTAGTGGTGAAGCAAAGGAGCGAGTAAGACTTTCAAGAACTTAATAATTAATGAGAGAAGAGAAAGATAAGCCAAGTGAATGTAAGAGACACAAAAATATATAAAGGGAAAACTAAAGAGAGAGAATTCAGTTGTGAGTGGAAAAGTCCTTTAGGTAGACACAGAATTTAGGTTGGAAAGCCAAAGGAACTGGAATGATTTTTGATCTCTCCAACTTCAATTAAACTCGTGTTTCTGAAATGAAACTCTTCAGTGATTACATTCTTGAAATGTAATCATTTATTTCTGAAATGATTATATTCCTGCCCTCTCCTTCAGATTTTAGGGAAGATAAGGTGAGAGGAGGAAGTGTTAGAGAAACAAAAAAGAACAGTAAGGGACACAAACACACTGGATGGGGTTACAGCAAGGGCACTGTAAGGACTTGCCAAGTACTTAGAAGTAAGAATGGAATTTAGAGCCACTGATGGAGTAACTAGGCTGCTGCTTAGTCTCTAGCACATATTACAAGAATTTTGGAAAAGAATGGATAAGATTCTCATAGAAAACTCAGAAGGAGCATACTGGCACAGGAAAAGAGTCATTTTGAAAAAAGATCCTCAACTTCAGTGCCCTCGGTTTTGTACACAAAAGAGAAAAGAGGATATTCAACTGCATCAGGAGCGCTGAAACAGGAAACAGCTGGTGTGTACTCTCAGACATTTAAAATGGCAAAAAGGAATGGTAGAGTTTTCTGACAATGGTTTCTGGCCAGTTTGAATTTGTGGTAGATTTGGTAAGTTGGGCTCTAGTTCTTGCTTTGTGAGTTCTTTGCTGAAGGAAGCCCAAAGATAGAATTTGTTGTTATTTCTTTTGAGATAATGATCACTATGTAGCTATTCACAAAGAAAAAAAATCAATGTCTATTTTGACATGGTATTTAAGATACAGAGAGTTGATGTCAATGTTAGCATTGCATCCAATGTCCATTTGTATATAATATACATTTGGTAAAAATCCCTTCTGATTAAATTTGATTAGGTTCTTTTTATTATATTTATTAACATTTTAAAGCTTGATATTCTCTGACAGTAAAACAGAGTAAATTAATGTTGTCACTTGCAAGAATGAAAGATTCTCCATTCTCCTATTTTAATATACTTTTGTATATTATATGGATTCTGTTTTTAATCCAAGTTATTTTGATGACCTATATAAATTCATGCTAACTCCCATATATCACATAAACCTGGCTTTAATACTAAATGTAATAATGTATATATTACAACACATAAAACCTCTAATTAAATAGGTTTAAATTTATATTATTTTACTGCTGTTATGCATGTTAAAATTATAATATGCTAAGACTAATATGAACTATTTGATATCCCAATCACAAGTTCCAAAAACATTAGGCACAGCCATAACCAAATTAGCACTGAAATATTGTCTTACACCATTCTCATGTTCTCAGCATTGAAAGTAGAACTTTCAAAGCATCACTTTTTCAGGTATTTTCTGTGGCCAGCTTGGAGTATACAGTTGTGTGGTTTGCATTATGGAGGACACAAAAATAAAGCCTTGTTATCCTAGCCCAAAGGAGACAATTGGGGCACATTGTGAAGAATGGAGTAATATAGAGTTGAAGTATATTTGTTATTTACTATCAGAGAAAAACAGTGTTCATAGATGTGATTTTAAAAATAGACCCTCAAATTATTTGATAATCCTCCTGAAGCAGGAGGGTTTAAAAGTAGACCCTCAAATTATTTGAAAATCCTCCCTTTGAGTGTAGGCTGGACTTAGTGACTGTCTTGTAAAGAACAGAATAGGGCAGAAGATAGTATGCACTTCCAAACACACACACACACACACACACACACACACACACACCCTAAGGCTTCTGTCTTGGGTTTTCTCTCTCTCTCATTCTCTCAGATGTTTTGATCTAGGAATAGCCAGCTCCCATGTTGTGTAAGCAGCTCTGTGAAAGACCCACATGGTGAGGAATTGAAACTTCTTTTTGCCAACAGCCCCCTGTGAGTGATCTTGAAAGCAGATTCTCCAATCTCTTCAGATGACTGCCACCCTGACCAACAACTTGACTGCAACCTTATAGGAGACCATGAGCCAAAATCACCCATCTATGCAGCTCCTGGTTCTTGTCTTTCAGAAACTTTGTGAGAAAATAAGTGTTTATTAGCTTAAGCTGCTAAATTTAGGGACAATTTGTTGCAGCAATAGTTAATGATAGATTTTAAACTCTTTTTCTTTCTTCTCTCTTTGCCTAGCCAGAAAATAATTTACTATCCATATTTTCTGAATGTAAAGCAAAAGTGATCTCCTAATTCACTGTTTGGTTTAAGACTGAAGCTGAAAATGATTTATTAGTAATAAGAGAGTGATTAATAAATACTTATTGATTGATAGAATGTAGTTTGTACCATCTAGGAGCTCATTAATTGAAGACAGTGTAAAGGAACTATAATTTAATAGTTCCAGAAATTTAAAAATGGTTCATTATCAGCAAATATTTTCATGAAATACATCAATATATCAAAGAAAAAATAATCATCCCCAAGAGAAGTCGATATGAATAAACACAGAACAAAAACAATCAACAATGAAAA